TTTATCTATATTGTCATCATTATTTTTTATCACTATTGTCATTCATTATAGTTATTATTATCATAGTGATCCTTATAACTATTATTGTTATCTTGTTATCATCATATCGAACATTATTATCTTTATCACCATATCATTATTAGTAGCAGTAAACAGTATTATCATGTTCAAATGTTATTATTGTTGTGTTTATTATTGTTATGCTAATCATAATTATTGTTATTCATCTTCATCATTATTATTGTTTCATTGTTTGTATTTTCAGTATTTTTTTTACTTTTATCATTCTTTTTTCGTTATTATTATCATAAATATTATTTAATATCATTATCATTATAGATATCATTATTACTAAAATCAATATCATGATTGTTATTACTATCATTATTATCATTGTTACTGTAATCATCAATATTATTATCATTATCATGATTATCATTATTATTTTCCTTGTAAATATAATTGATTTTATTAGAAGTATTATCATTATCATCGGCATTACTGTTATCATTATCCTTGCCATTATTGTTACTATATTCATTGTTATTATGGTTATGAACATGAATATTATTACATTTTTATCGCCTAATATGCTTTATTATTCATGCTTTAATTGATTAATTCTTTTATTATCATTACCCTTATTATAGTAATTAACAGTCTTATTATCAATGTCATTATCATCATTATTATTACCCTTATTACCATTACAATTATTATTATTATCTTTTTTTTATTATCGTTATCATTACTCTTATTATTATCATTATAATTTATATTATTCTTATCATCATCATCGTCGCCATCTTCATCACTATTATCATTATCATTATTATGATTTTTATCATCATTGTACTGCTATTAGTACCATTATCATTCATGTTATTGGTATAATAATCACTGTCATTATCCTTATTCGTTATGTTATTATTATTATCTTTTTATCACTGTATCACTATAATTATTTGTATTTGTGCTATCAAAATATATATATATAATATATTATATATATATATATATATATATATAATATATATATATATATATATATAATATATATATGTATATATTTTTTTTCTTTTCTTTCTTTCTTTCTTTCTTTCTTTTCTTTCTTTTTTCTTTTTTTTCTTTCTTTCTTTCTTTTTTTCTTTTCTTTTCTTTTTTTTTTGACATTTTTATCATTTTCAATATCAACATTTTCATTATCATTATCACTGTCATTACTATTATTATTGCTACTATCATTATCGTTATCATTAGTACTATCAATGTTAATATGTCACTATGATTTTTTTTTTAATTAATCTATATTTTCACATACCATCATTATCATTATCATGATCATTTCTATTATTATAACTAATATTATTATCATTATAATGATCATTACTATCATTATCATTATTGCCATCATCTGCTTCATTATCATAACGATCATTGTTATCATTATATATATTATTATTTTCATGATAATTATCATCACTACAATTACTATTAGTATCCTTACCATCTCTTTTATTATTATTATTATCATTTTATTATCATTATTATTATTATTATTATATATATTATTATTATTATAAGTATATCATTATTATTATTATTATCATTATCATTATGAAATTAGCTACAATGAGAATTGAAAATAATCGTAACGTTTCGAATTTTTCACGATTTCCTCTTCAGACAAAACCGAAATGGATCCATTTCGACACATTTCCATTTCGGTGAAGAGGAAATCGTGAAGGGTTCGAAACGTTACATTAATTTTCAATTCCCATTGTAGCTAATTTCATAATAATAGTAATAATAATAATAATAAAAGAGGTGGTAATGATAACAATAGTAATTGTAGTGATAATAATTATGATAATAATAATATGATTGATTATTTTTAATTCCAATGTGGCTAATTTATTTTCTGTCACGTTGCTGTGTTTTGTGTGCTTTTTTATTATTATTATTGTTATTGTCATTGATATTCTTATCATTATTATCATTTCCATTATCATTACCATTATTAACATCATTATTATTACATTTCTATTATTGCTGTTATTGTTTTTATTATCATAATTTTGACAATTATCATAATCATTATCATTATCATTATGTTTATCATCATTATCATCATCATTAGGGTTAAGATTATTATTACTATTACTATTATTAGTATTATTATCATTGACAGTATAATAATTATTATTATCATTATTATTGTTGTTGTTGTTGTTGTTATCATTATCATTACTATTGTTATATTCATTGTTATTGTTTTCATTATTATTTCTTCCTTACAATTACTTTATTATTATTATCATTACTATCATTATCATTATTATCATTATCATTATAATTATTACCTCATTATATTAATATAATTATCATTAAGGATTCTTTTATTGTTGTTATTACCATTAATATTGTTTTGATTATTATTATCATTTCTCTTTCTATTGATATTGTTATTATCATTGCTTTTATTATCATTATCATAATCATCATTTTTACCATTACAACTAAACCTATAATTATTAATAATAATTCAATTATTTCTATCATTTTTGCTACTATCATTATTTTTAATGGTTATTGTTATCGTCATTAATATCATCATTATCTTTATTATCATTATCATTATCTAACTATGATATTTTTGTTGTTATTTCGATACTGGTATTACTGTTATTATCATTATAATTAATGTTTTATTATATGTATATTTTTAATTATTATTATTATTATCATCATTATCATTGTTGTTATCATTACTATCTTATGTTATCATTATTGACATTATTGTTATCATTATAATTTCTATTAATATGATGATTATTTTCATTATTTTCATCATTATCATGACTGCTAATGCTGTTATCCTTATCACATTTCTAATTTTTTATCATCAGTATAATCATTATTTTTTCTATTTTCTTATTAATAGTAGCTGTATTGTTATTATTATATCATTATTATTACTATTACTATTATCATTGCTATTTTTTATGTTATTATCATCATTATTGTTACGATTATTATCATGATTGTTATCACTATCATCATTATTGTCGTTATTATTATTATGATGATGATTACTCTCATTATTACTATTATTTTTTTACAACTAATAACATTATCGTTGTCATTATAATTATCCTTATTATCATCATTATCGTTATTATCGCTATTATCATCATCGTTAACATTATCGTTATTTTCATCATTATTATGATTATTATCATTCTCATTCTCATCATCACCATCACATCCATATATATCAGTATTTTTCATTTCTATTAGTACCATTATTAATATTTTTTTCACTGTTTTTGCAACTGGTGTTGTTATTTTCCGATTCTCAGTGATAGCAGTTGTGGTATCGTTATTGATGTTGTTATTGTTATTACTTCTTAATGACTTGTTAGTGTTGGTGTTATATCCATTGTTATAATTGTCATTGTTATTGTTGTTGTAGTGAGTTTCCCGTGGCTGCAGGAGGGTCATCCCGCAGGCTTTCGACGTGGCTTTGTTGTTTTCCTGTGAGTCTGTGTCTTTTTAAATAAGAATACACCTGTGTTTTTATACTCATTTGACTTACCTTTCCTCACCGGTCCGTGATCTACCTCTACATCTACACACTAAATTATTAAACTAATAATAAAATAATAAATAATTAAGTTACTAAACATAACACTACTTATAAACTATTTACCTTATATTCTGTACTTACTTTGTTTTATTCTTGCCTTTTCGTCTTCGACTAATTCACCTTAGCTTTGTTTTTCTCTCGTTTTCCCTTCCTGTTTTTTCGGTTTGTCTCACGGATCCCTTCTTTCACTTATTTGTACTTTCCTATCTTTTATCCATTTTTGTCCCCATTTTGTATAGTTTTATCTTTATTCTTATTTTCTGTATTTCTAAACCTATTTAAGACTCGCCATGCACTATTTAACAAATAAAGTCTCACAAAAAGTCACCAGTATAGGGTCAACAAGTAAAATCAATTGCATTGTGGGTAAAGTCTCACAAAGGCGCGGGAAGTCACCCAGTAAGGGTCAACAAATAAAATCAATTGCGGGTAAAGTCTCACAAGCGCGGAATCACCAGTATAGGTCAACAAAATAAAATCAATTGCATTATGGGTAAAGTCTCACAAAGCGTGGGAAGTCACCAGTATATAGGGTCAAGCCAGGTCGGTCTAGGAGAAAGAGGCTTATTGTCTTATGTGGTTACGGTCCGTTGGCTTTTTAGCTGGCTGACTGGTGCTTCTCGTGCAGCGGCGGGTTGCCACAGCACGAGAAGCTGTGTTGTCTTGTATTTTGGTTACGTTTTGAAAGTTTGTGCGAAATAAATGTATAATACGGATGCTCTTTTTTATGTTGCTTTTTAGTCAGCCAGTGATTTAATTTTATTATTCTTTTATTGTGACTACGGGATCACTCCCAACTCAACCGAGAGTCATTGCCAAGTACGCCGAACCTACATGGTTATTACTTGTAGTTGGTAACACGCTACCAAACCAACGTCTATAACTTTACGGAGTTTATGATTATCCACTACAATTGTTATTATTATTTGCATCATGATTATTATAATAAATATCAATATAATCATTAGCAGCATCGTCA